GACTGCTGCAAAACTCATCTAATGACCAATCAAGACCAAACTTGGCACACAGAGCCCCCATGACCCACTCTATATCCTGCTGTTTGTAGGAGGATGGGCCATGGATGATGGGACTTCAAGTACCTTCACTCACTTCCTGAAAATAATGCAGCCATTACCCAAAGACCAATAAAGACCAAACTTGGTATACAGAACCACCATTACCCACTTTCTCTAATAACCCGGGCAACGCCAGGTCCCCAAGCTAGTACTTTTATAAAGAGAAGGGTGTTAGGAATAGATTTCTTTGTTATTGTTTTCATTATGCCAGTTGGTGTTATTCACTGCTGCATGACCCCTGCTTGCTGTCTTTGAATGACACAAAGTCTTGTCCTCCTTGACTGCCTCTGCAACTGATCCACTACTTTCCATAGCTTACATTCATGGACAATGATTTGTATAGATCACCCCCTGGAAAGCATTAACTGAGAAGCTTTCACACTGAACTCAACACGCAGTCTATTGTGCACTGTATCACACTGATCAACCCACTCGTTCCAACAAAAAGATGCTGCTGCTGAGTGTTCTTCTTGGCTTGTTGATATCCAGCTGGAGTTCATGCTTTGGAACACACCGGTCTTTTCACTTGCTTTCTCTTCTGCAGAGGTGTTGCCTCCATTCCAGACCGTAGCTGGCTGGGTTCTGGCTCTTTGTGGTTGAAAGTGACCCCATTCGGCTTTCGAAAGCTTTTGAAGTGGATCAAGGAGGAATACAACAACCCACCTATTTATGTGACTGAAAATGGAATTTCAGAACGTGTCGACGAGGGCTTAAATGATCCCTGGAGGACACATTACTTAAAAAATTACATCAATGAAGCTTTGAAAGGTACGTATTACACCCTTCAGTCTGTATATTTCCATTTAACCATACAAAAACCAGGAAATAAGTAATCTGATGTGATCCCTCTAACTTGCTCCCCTTCCCTTGCAATACAGCAATCTCATGCAACGTAATGATAAACCTGGGAATCCTGAGAACCATGATTAATTTAGTAAAAGTATGCATGTGCCTGCTGTCCCGTGGTTCCCACCTGCAGCAGAAGCCATTAACCCAAGCACAGTGTTTCATACTTCATCTGAAAGTGGAAATAGACAATGCTTTGGATTGCTTTACCTTCCGCAAGCCTGCGAGAGAAACTATATAACAAACCAGGTCTTGTGGTTTGTTACAAAATAAGCCAGAACACTTGCTCTTGCCAGGTTTAGATGATAACAATAAGCAAACCTTCGTGCAATTGAAAAATATTTATAAACACACTTTTCATGTTTATGTGATAGAAATCTACAATTTTATACACTACCATCAAAATGCAGGAAATACTTTTGATTGTGGGTGGATTGAAGTGGGTGTTCACTAGGCAATGTTCCCAGTTTCACTTTTGCAAACCTTTCCATTTGACTTTGGAAGAATTCCTATCATAATATTGGAAAAGATTGCTTTGTAAGGAGATGCTCTACTCCATTAGATAAAATATTCACACTTTACTATAAATAATCTAACCAAATGGAGCCTCTGGTGGTGCAATAGGTTAAATTGCTGAGCTGCTGAACTTGCTGACTGAAAGGTTGGTGGTTTGAATCTGGGGAGCGGGGTGAGCTCTCACTGTTAGCCCCAGTTTCTGCCAACCTAGCAGTTTGAAGACATGCAAATGTGAGTAGATCAATAGATACCACTTCAGTGGGAAGGTAACAGTGCTACATACAGTTATGCTGGCCACATGACCTTGGAGGTGTCTACGGATAATGCCAGCTCTTTGTCTTAGAAATGGAGATGAGCACTGACCCCCAGAGTTGGACACGACTAGACTTAATGTCAAGGGGAAACCTTTACCCTTACTAATCTAACCAAAAGGTAGCCACTTTGGTTAGATTACATTTATTTATTTATTTTGGACATTGTTTGCTTGTGTACTGTGAGGGATCCTTGCCATCTAGTTCCCAACCAGTAGGGAATCTACAAAAGTTAGACTTTTCAAAGGAAGAGACTGAAGAGCAAATTAGTTGTATTTGGTTTAGTTTGTGGTGACTCTCTTAGCGATCCCAAAGGTGACCACACGCTTTCCTCCACCAGCTCCAGTGTGCATCAGCCATTGCTGCCAAGGACTTGTTTCATTCTGTGCTCTTATGAGATTTAGTACATCAGGCTGACATCAAGATGGAAATCTTATATAGAAAATCATGGTCAGCTCGTATGGCCCGATAGTCAATGAAAAGTTAGACAGTTCTATAATTTGGTGCCTGAAGACTCTTTGGAAATTGATACATTTCCTTAAGGGTCTGTTTCAGTGTATTGTTTATATGATTTCCAGCTGAAGAATCCACACACTGGATTGCACTCTGTGAGACATTTCTTCCTCTTTTTGTGCACTTTAACAGCAATTGTACATGATGGTGTTGATATACGAGGCTACACTGTATGGAGCTTGATGGACAACTTTGAGTGGGCAGTGGGCTACTCTGAGAGATTTGGGTTGTATTATACCAACTATACAGACCCAGATCTATCCAGAATTCCAAAGGAGTCTTCAAAATATTATTCCTCTATCATTCGATGCAATGGCTTTCCAGACCCAGCCACTGGGCCTCACTTGTGTCTAGAGCCTCAACCTGAAGGTTAGTAAATTCCTGATAGTTTTAAATAGATTCATATTGAGAATTGGTTAGAAGGAACCTACATGTTTGAAACACTGGCAGTTTGTTCATGAGTATGGATGAGGTTTGCCCAGAAAACAAGTTTACTACAACTCCTTCTATGTATTTGATATAATGTTACGAACCCCTAACTGGAAAGGAAGGTGGCATTTGGTGCTTCACTGCATCAAATTGCAACTGCTGTGGGCTGTTAAACAAGTTAATCTGTTTCTTGGACTAAAATGGTCAAAATGCAATCCTGCACCCTAAAAAGTAATTAAAAGAGATGGTTGTCTTCTCTCCAATTCAATATCTATCTATCTACCTATGTGTATGTATGTATGTATGTATATTGCAGTGAGATTTTGGGGTATTTGGGGTAGTTTGATGATTTTATGTTTCTGCTTATGCTTAAGTATTGTAAACTGAAAACCGAGCCTGTAGGAAAAGATTAAGGAACGGTGGCTCTGACTGCAGCTTCCATCAATTCCACCCAGCATGTGTGGAATGATATTACTTGCAGTCCAATAATATCCAGAGGACCATACTTCCTATCTATAGTACAGGACAATGCAGATTTTATTCTTGTTGTTCCTTTTAGTATGAGAGAACAGCTAGCTGAGGTAGATATCACAAGCCCCCAATTTAAATTTCTGATGATTATTGGATGCATTTGCTGGTATGTTTTTAGCATATGAGTGCATGCCCAATAAAATTGGCACTGTACAGTTCATGAGTGTGAACGAGGGCCTCTAAAAATCCTTTTGAGACTGCAACACACTTACATGTGTGAACTATAAAGGTAAGTAGGGGCAGCAAAAAGTGCTAGCCTCCTCCAATATTAAAACCTACACAGCAGTGCAAGTGAGCCCATGCAGTAAGATGAATCTCATTCATATTTGATGAGAAACAGTGGCTGGTGTCCTGCTGTTGAATTATGAGGGTGAAAAGCAGATTTGCTCCATTGCAGCTCACTTTTGAGTTCATTGCAAGGGACAGATGTCTGTTCTGAGCAAGCAATGTTCACATCCACAAGCACTCTCTTGTTAGTAGCATGCCCCTCCACGGCCATTTATGTGGAACTGCAAAGGACATGGGCACTTATTTTTCTGTAGCTCAATGGTTCCCAACCTGTGGTCCGTGGACCACCAGAGGTATGCGAGAACTAAAATATAGTCCATGTCCTTACTGTTACTACACCATTGCAACAAGAGCGACTGGTCTTGCAAAACCCTTATAGTTCTGAGGCTTATTAAATATGGTTTTCTGTGGGCGAGCAGAATGGTGACTACTGGATGGTATATGTTCTGTATCAGAAACTAGAGCTGATGTGGCCTAACCAATGCAATGATTTGAGTAATCAGCTAAAAACATCCAAAGGAGATCCAGAGGTGAACTACAGTATGTAACAATGGCTCCCAAACTTTTTTTGACCATCATCCCTTTACTCTGAGGTCACATAGAAATGGCTGGGATGGGGAAGGACAGAAGCAATGCTGGGAGATGTAGCTACTGAAATATAGCTTTGTGATACGTTTTTGTCCCCCAATACAGGATCACAATATTTTTTAATGCTAATGGGCTAGTGGGTTAATGCCATACTTTGGATAGATCTACTCAGACCAGTGGGATCTTAATCTGAAGAATATAATACCGATCTTAATCTTAAGAATGCAATACTAGACCCTGTAATAATTTTGGTCATATCTGTCTTCCTGACAGAAAACAGTAGTTCAATTCTTCTCACTTACTCCAGCACTAAAGTAACCATAGGCACATCTCCCTGAAGGTTTGAGTGTGTTTGAGGCAAGTGAAATCATTTGGTTGGGTTGCAAGAGCCAGTGCTTTCTTTCTTCTTCCACCTGTGCCTCCTCCAAAGCCCATTCTCGAGAATCCTCCAACCTTAAAAAATAGCCAGCGAGCAGTAACTGTAGTGAGGGATCCCACTTATTCTAGAGCAGGAATGGCAAACTCTGGTCCTCCAGGTGTTTTGGATTTCAACTCCCACTATTCCTACCAGCTGTTAGGAGTTGTAGGAGTTAAAGTACAAAACACCTGGAGGACCAAAGTTTGCCATGTCTGCTCTAGGGCCAACTCAAATTATCTTATTTTCCAACAATTGGGCTGTTAGAAACCTGGGTTGGCTTTTCATCTTTTCAATTGGCTTGAAAACCACAAGGGGAAAAGTCTTTCTACAGAACATGTCTATAAACTAAGACTTTACTGATCATTTTTTTCCTAGGTACAAGTCTGCCACCTAGCAACACAACGTCGCCTGACAACTCAGCCATTCAGAAGGTGCAGTTTTTGGGGCTGGACTTGACTTCATCTCGTGCAGAAACAGCCCTTTACGTTTTGTTTGCCCTACTCCTGCTAACTGTAGTAGGCCTTGCCATTTTTTCATATGCATATAGGAAGATTACCAAAAAGCTCCACAGAAAAAGTAAAATGTAAATTATAAGACACATTTTTTCTTGTTATGTTTAATAAGGGTTCCTTTTGCCAAGGTATGTTAAAAGTGAACGGTCAAAATCACATTGAATAGGTGGAAAGGTGGGCATTCAGCTAAAGGCAAGAACAATCTCTCCACAAATCCTATCTGATATGGGGTACTATACAGAGGTGTGTCTTCCCGTCAGAAGTGTAACCAATTAGTAGTCCAGGTCTATAGACGGTTTAATAATGAAGTCAATAATTTTGAACAAAATATGAGAAATTACACAATTGTGGTAGACCAGCCTCCTCTATATTTGGTTTGTCTTTCACAAAGCCTTTGCTCCAGAGTTATTATACACAATCCTATTTACTACTATGATGTTAGCTGAGAGCCCTTTGGAAACGTTTAAGTGGGAAAGAAAGGAAATCAGCAAAGGTCGCCTTCCTGATCCCTTTTTTAATTAGCAAACTTATATTCCAGTGTTTTAGGAGCCTTTCCATTCACAGCCTGGCAATCCATATAACAAAACGCTAAAGATGAATGGGTTCTTGACTAAAACTTCCAGTTAAAGTTGTTCTGGCACAGACATGGGCAAACTTTGGCCCTCCAGGTGTTTTGGATTTCAACTCCAGTGGCTGTTAGGAATTGTGGGAGTTCAGATCCAAAACACCTGGAGGGCCAAAGCTTGCCCATGCATTTTCTAGCAGGATCACAGTCTCTGTAACTAGAAACAGATGTAGGTGACATTCAGTTCTTTTGACTGTCTGAAAATGGAAAATATGGTTGGCGTTATTAACACCTTCAGCGAATCCGTGCCTTAACAATGTATCACATATATGGGAGTGCAATATGTTTAACTACGAGTATCTAAAGTCTTGATAAATATGGTAGTTTGAAAGGCAGCACCTGAGACAGGTTTTTAAAAGCACACCCCTTTTTGAAAAAGCCACACCAGCTGCTATACTGAGCATACTCCCAAGTGCTGGTGCTTATCTTGTATGTATTTCAGCACTGCAGGGCACTCATCTTTGGAAGGCTTATGGAAAAGGCAGCAGGCGCCATCTAGAGTTTTAGCCTTCATTGCCATCTAGAATGTTTTTAAACCCTGTTCATGTGTTTAAATTTATTTAAATTTAGTATTAAGACCACCACCCCCATTATACTATATCTTGTACTTTTATTCCCACATCAGCTTACAATTAAATATTTGAACTAATACACAGACTTTTCTGCACAATGATCTCACAGACTACTGTATTTTTGGAAAAACCTTTATTGAACACTTTCCAATTAGAAACTACCTGTATTATTGTGTAGTCGCAGAAGCATTCAAAGAAAAGAAAAATAAGTTATCCAATTTATTAGGGGTCTTTTCTTTTGCTTCTGTTAGGGTCAGACTCGCTTGATTTATAATCTGAGCTTCTGATTATTTTCCCAAGACCTAGACATGAAAAGTGCCTTCAGATGTCCACATGGCTAAATAAGAGTGAAATTCTAAATGCTGATGGAAAATAGGAATTCATTTACATTCTTTGAGCTTTTGGCAGCAGTTACATTTGCAATATCCAGCTCCACAACTGAGTTAACACCTTACTCCATGTGCTATGGCCAGGAATAAGATACAATGCAGGCAGCCTAGCCATACAAGCCCACTTGTGCAGCCAAAGGTTTAAATGAAATTAAATCAAGGAAAGAAGGGGGGAAATCAGTGATCATTATGTACAGTTTACTCAAACTACATCTGTTGGGTGGAATTTCCATTCCAGGTATTGTTATCGTCATCTCCATCGTCCTGTGTTCTCAATCGATAGATTTTGCCTTCTTTTTTGAATTCTTCACTCCGCTTTTCCAAAACTCGTTTCCTGACTGCTTGTCTAAATAAGAAAGAGTTGCATCTCAATAACATATTCCTACAGTGACAATAGACAGACATGATTTTCTCTATAAACACCAGAACCTAGCTTGTTAGCTCCCATTCAGTTCTAACCTCCTTTCTACCGCTCCCTATTTAACAACATTTGCAGAGAAAATTATTTGGAAATTACTTTAAAAACACAATTAGTTACTGTTCTTGGTCTAAGATGCAAAAGAAAGTAGATGGTTGTAATTAGTTGCTTTTAACTTAAGGGTTTTTCTTTTATTTTGCTCTTCTCAAATTGTATCAGAGGTAGACTAGATAACTGTGACGCAATGCTTTTTCCCTTTGTTCTAACTTTCAGTTGTGCCTATTTTCTATTGAAAACAAAAACATAAACAGCAACTTTTCATTAAAGTAAATTAAAATGATTGCTCTGTGGCACAAATCACATTCTTTCCATTCACCTCTTACCTCAACACCTACAGAAACATTTGAACCGTGTAATACTTCACTATCACCAATTGATGACGCTGAACACCAGCAACTGCTATTACACTACTTTTCAATGTATCATAAATATAAACTCAGAGGAATAACTAAGGGAGGCAGTTGCTATTTACCAGTGTACTGCTATACTGCTGTCAATTGCAGCATGGCTCATGGTAATATCAGTTTTGAGGATTATGCTTGCATCCCTGCCAAGTTATGTCAATTTCCGATATTGGCTAAAATGGAATATCTGTGAAAATAGGCAAGGAAATGCCAATTTATATGGTTGTTTAAAGAGAAACTGTCTGAAATGCAAACTAGTGAAGATGGCTTAGAGTGGAACTGGGCATCCTGCAGCCCTCCATACAGTAATGAACTACTGATCAAAATACATCAAAGTATGAAGGAACCAAATTATTTTCCTAGCATTCAATGATATGTTGTCCACAGACCACAAGGTGAACAACATGTAGGTCAGAAAATGTTTCTTCCAGCACAAGCAGAGCATTACATTTTGAGGGGGGGGGGGGGGGCTTATGGCAATTAGTAGCAATCACAAGCAAAAATCCAGATGGCCCACTTTGCAGCCAGTTACCTGCTTGGCTCTGCAGCATTAGAGGAGGTGTTTGCAGTTGCATGTTCCGACTGATGCCGCCCCATGGGAGGAGGCTGGGGAGGTGGAGGGCTGGTAAACAGGAAATTGCTAATAAACCGCCAAACCGCTATCAATGGGTAGAGGATGGTGCCAAGGAATCGCCAAAAATCTCCACTGGAAGACTGCACAACGGCTGTTGCCGGCCTCCCTGCCTGGGAATGTGGAAAAGGTCAGAAGAAATGTGAATATGGTTGAAAATGGCCCTCAAGAAAAAACACCCACTTTGCACAAATTCAGTCTTGCTTGCTGTCTTATTTTTAGACACTTACCGGCAACAATACTACCGAAGCGCTTGGAGCCAGTTCCAGGTCCAATAATTTTTTCCCATAATCTTCTTTGGTGAACTCCCTTCTGGGGAACATTGTTGCCAATGAGAAATTGCCGTAAGTGTTGCCAACTGTCTGTAACAAGGGAAGGAATTCGTTACACACTTCACTATGTAACAAAAATTTGAGGAAAAAAATCTGTTCCTGGTTTGAAAGTTTTATTTCTTGTTTAATTGCATGGTACCTACTTTGAAAGTAGTTGTTATACTCCAGAAACTTTGTTTTTTGTGGCTGCCACAAACTATGTTGAATTGGTTGAGACCGCCTGAGATATTCATTGAAAAACTACAGCAAAATATGCTGCAGAATGTCCCCCAGAAACAAAGATTTTGCAGTTTAATAACCCTTTTCCATGTTTCTATGATAGAACCAATTAGAAAAATAACATTTATAACCCAGGAACAAAATTATATTAAGACAGAGTTTTGTATTTGCATGTATGTTTGAAAATTCTACAGTCGTGTTGTTACAATATTATCTGTCACCTTGATTTCTTGCTTTCCAAGTGTGTTTATGACTGTGTCATAGGATCTTCTTGACAAGATTTCTCTTAAGCCTGAGGGAATGTGACTCAGTGGGCTTTCATAACTGAGCAGGGATTGGAACCCAAGTCTCCCCGTCCCAGTGTCACATTAAAACCACACTGACTTCCTAAATGCATTCAAGCAAATACAGGCAGCACTGGCATCAGCTATCATGCTATAAATGTACATTTGAAAGCTCACTAAATTTATGAACGTAGTCAAACAAGTAATGTGTTTTAAGCAATAAACTCAGCAGCAATAACATGGCTTAGTCAATGATATACATATGATGTCATTTTTTAAAAAACCAGCATATTAGGAACTGAGATTATGCATCAGTATCTAAACAAATCATTATAAACACCTGCACAAAAAAATAGCAGCACAAGGGTTTCCAATTTTTTGCCTTCATTTCGCAAGTCTATTCTGCATGCTACTCCAACTTTCTACCTGATAAGGTGTGTGCATGTGTGGGGGGGATGCAGAAGTAATTTGTGTTTTATGGAAGATACAATGCCTGCTTTTGATAATTATCGACCTCTCTTTAAAACTACCATCTGATCTAATTCCATATACAACCTAATTTAAAAAGACAACAGATGTTAATTTACCTGTGAGGCAAACTGTCGAGCTTCTTCCAAAGGAGCGTCTGAAGGGAAACTGTTAGTAAAAGATGATCCATCTGGAAGACGAAACTGGATTCTTGCTATAGCACTAGGGGAAGAGACAAAGGAGATTTGGTATTTCAGTTTGAAGTATCATTCTTCTGAGTTAAAATTCTTTTGAATGACATTCCAAGTAAATTCATTTTAAGATGCAGGATTTATTTATTTATTTACTGAATTTCTATACTGCTTTTCTCATCCCGAAGGGGACTCAAAGCATCATACAACATAATAAATGGCAAAAATTCAATGCCTCACATCCATATAAAACAATACATTACGTATCTAAAAACAGTATCGTATAACTATAAAATTAAAATCAATTAAAGCACACACACACACACACTTGAAATTATTAGTACTAGCAATGTATTAGACTATGTTCAGAATACAGGAAACACTACTTTACAAAGAGGAGTGGGAGGGTGGGGGTGGAATGAACTGTCTGCAGAAACCAAAGCATATATGATCCTACAAGAGGAGAAGATCTGGACAGTGAGTTGCTAAAGCCTCTCACCTTCGTTCCCTCTGGGACGCTTCCTTCTTGGCTTCCATTTCAGCTTGCTTAGCCTGGAGGGCAGCAGCTTTTGCAGCATCTGCTTCTTCCTTAGACCTCGCAAAACGAGCTGCTCTTTCAGCACGATCCTTCAGAAGAATAAAAACGTATTTGCTACAACCCTACCTTCAGGCCCATTTGAAATTGTTAATACAGAAGCACCTATCAGAAGTATCAATGACAAATCACTACCAGCTTCCACATGAAGAAAGGCCAAGATCATGCATCAACAGATATAACTGTCATGATGGAGCTCTGCTGTCATAGTTATATATCCGATGATGACAGAGTCCCCAACCCAAAGGTTTCTGAGGTGTTGCAGACTGGGGTAATGGGAAATTGCATTTGTAGAGCTTTTCTAGTTGAAAACAGATGGCTGAACATCATGCTGCAGCTAATTTTCTGCAACTAGGAGAGCAATGCCAGGTTGAAAAGGTGGTTTTTGGAGGTTGTTTTCAGCTAGAAATGACCATAAACATGAATTCCTGGCAGTGTTGATACTTACAAGCACCTAACTACTGAACATATATAACAAAGTACACCACTGAAATCACACAAGTCAGCCATGACCAACAAGAGCCAATTATTTCAACGAGTCTACATTTCACCACTGCTAAGTTTAGATCCTTAACTTTAATACAGCAGTAATGGAAAAAAATATTAAAACATGGGATACTCAGAGAGGGTGACTGTTCTCAATCTCTACTAATTTCTCACTGAGCAGAACGTTGTACCCAGTTGTTCATGTGCCTCCCTCCAACTCTATGATTCCAAAGTGGGCTTCAAATTTATTGCTTTCAACTAATCGCCAAATAAAAAACAGTCAATAACTTGCCAATGCAATCTGCTGCCTGATGCGTTCCCTAGCAGCTTTGTCTTCAGCCTTTTCTCTGTTCCTTTCTTCTAATATTCGTTTTGTGAGTTCTTCTTCTTGTTTCCTTTTGTATTCTAGCATATCTTTTCCCGTTTTTCTTCTTTCGATTTCTTTCTTGATTTCTTTCTAAACATGAAAAGAGAACAAGCATTTCCTAAATATTATAATGAACACTAAATGCAGATATAGGATACCTTTCTCCTTCCTTCCAATGGCCCCCTGTGCTAACTCCTCTCTCCTGTTTTTTTGCTCTTTACTTCTCTCTTGACAATTTGTTCCAGAGGGTTTCCTCAACCCTCTGGAACAAACTATCAAGAGAGAAGAGCAAAAAAAATCATCTCACCTTTCAGTTTACACAAATAGTTCAACTACACACATCTCTATTTAACCCATCAAAATGCAGAAATATGAAAACATGAAAAATGCAGCCGATATCTTACTTGTTGTTCTTCTTTTTTTTTCTCTTCTCTCCTTTCTTCAAGCTTTTGTGTCACTCTAAATTTGGGAAAGGAAAATTTCACTTATACTTTTTTGAAGAAATGTTACAATCAGAAGATCAAGAATAACTTGGTACTCCAAATCACTTGCCTCCAAAAAATAAAGATACTAAAGTGATGTCTCTCATTCATAGCTTCATCAAAAGTACAAAGGAAAACACTGATTGCTTTTATTTTATAAAGAATACTGGAAAAGCATACTGCTTAAACATATCAAAACATTTGATTGTATTAACTCTTTTTAAAATTCACAATCCAGAAGAAATACTTTGGGCACATAACAATTGATCTTGAAATAATGTTTACATAAATGTCGTAGATTTTCACAGAAAACTGTGCAAAGTATAAAATACTTTACAGAATAGTCTGAACGTCTGGAAATCAACAACATACCTTTCTACTTTTGCTGCAAGGTCATCTGTGGTCTGTTCCAACCTTCTTTCATTTTCATTTGTCTGCACCAAGTTTACTTCAGCTTAAGACAGTTTAGAAATCACAGAGCAGCAAAAAGACGGAGAACGAGTGGAAATATTAAATTTTACCCACTGAAAATGACTTCCATAAAAAATAAAATTTCCTAACAGTCTACAGGTTGCTAGAAATTGTGCAAGTTGGAAGTCCAAAACACCTGGAAAGCCGAAGTTTGCCCATGACTGCTTTAAAGTGCTATTGTGCTACACCAACAGAGACATCAAGAACACAAACTGATAAAAGAAACCACTGTTCGGCTTCTATACAAAACTGGTGCTCTGAATACCTCAATTCTCAGGTGCCAGATTTTTAAAAATTAGTGACTTTCAGCAGGAAGGGCTATAGATTTGACTCTCTCTTTGCGCCACTATTCCCCAGCACTGTGTGGCTTGCTCTGTTGTGTTCCTGACCCATTAAGGGAGACAAAAGTCTGAAGTAGAGTCTATACATCAGTGGTTCCCAACCTGTGGCCCACAAGAACTAAAATACAGTCCATGGTCTCATCATTTCTACACCGCTGCAAAATGAGTGACTGGTCTGGCAAAACCCTCTTATAGTGCCGAGACTTATCTAATATAGTTTTCTGTGGTCAAGCAGATGGCAACTACTGAAAGGCAAATGTTCTGTATCAGAAACTAGAGCTAATGTGGTCTATCCAATACAATTTTCTGAATCAGCACCCCAAATAACCAAACCGAATATAAAGTTGTCCAAAACTGTTTCATAACCCTTTTGGTACTAATGTTGAAGAGTGCTCCCTGGTCAAAAAAGGTCAGGAACCCCTGCTATACATGACAGCATGGCATGATAGACTCAAGCTGTAGCATGATGAGGAACAGAACACAAGCAAGGAATCTGCATGATAAGCAGAAAGAAAAGACAGTCAAAACATCCTACTGAAAACCTGTATTAATGGTTATGTATCTTTAAATTAAATATCAAACCTAAGACTATTGGGTGACTCAAAAATTATCCATATGTAGAGAACTATTAACACCTACCAGCTGAGGCTAAATGTGGCCTTTCAGGTTGTGCTTCACAGGCACCAGCTGTTTGGGAGTCTTCTGTGACCTTATACAAAGAGGATGCAGATGAAGCAGACGTTTCTACTGCTGCATTTTTTATCATGTGCATCTATGAAAGAAAGAAGTGTTGTAGTTTTTCTTTCACTGCTGTAGTTCCACATTATTATTTCTAATATCACTTTATACATTAAATGTGAAAATGGAATGATTAATTTCTTATGGACAACCCAACTCCCTTCATCCAGACCGTCAATAGTAAATGTAGGCTATAAACATTTACCTGGGAGTAAGTTCCCATGCATGCAGGAAAACTTATTTCTGAGAAGAGCTGTGTAAGTTTATGCATGCTAACTTTGAAAGTAGTTTTAATGCATTTTTATTTGAATGCTATTCTTAGTGTTCAACGGAACTTGGCATACCAAGCATTGCAGTCTTAGACTACCATTCTCAATTTCTTCAACTTTGGATCACTAAAATCAACATGGCTTACTTCCAAGTAGGCTACTTGTCCTTTTTTGCCACTATAACCTACCCATGCTGTATGATGCTAACACAGGAATGGACAACCTTCAGCGTTCCAGGTGTTTTGGACTTCAACTCTCACAATTCCTAACACCCGATAGGCTGTTACAGCAGGTAGGAATTGTGGGAGTTGGAAGTCCAAAACACCTGGAGGGCTGAAGTTTGCCCATGTCTGTGCTAACATATAGCGAAGGGAATAAAAACAACTGTGTATTGTTGATTGTGCCACCTTTAAAAGTTGAGAGTAATTCAAGTTGTCCGCCCACCCCTGGGCTGCAAAATTATAGGGTGGCAGTATAAAACTCAAGGCGCTTCATTGTAGAGCTGAAAATCGCAGAAGGTTGGCCAAGATTAGTGTAATGTGATAATCAAACCAGTTGATTGTTAATTTGAACAACAGAAGTTTAAGATGAAGCAATACTAAAGGGTTGGTAAAGGAAGCAGCAATATATAGTGTGTGTAATATGCAATTGAAAAGAGACTGGAACAAAATGAAAAGCTTGCATTACGATCTAAGTGGAACCTGATGGAAAATTCCATTCTGATTGCAAATATGCTAATAGCTCTCTTGGAATGGAATGGGCCAATCACCAAGCTGACAATCTGAAGTGTGTGGAATGACGTGGTACAATTATAGGCCTGGACTCAAAAACTAATAATAGATGGATTATAAAGCGGCTCTCACCTCACAGCGTGTGATTTGACCTGTGCTGTAGCAATAATAAAATATGAGGAACTAAAATATACCAGGGAGAATATATAAAGTCCATTTGTTGATCCCATTAGAAAATGGAGTTCTAGCAGAACTCCTTACTACTCTTACTAGCACGTCTCCATGCATAAAATAGTAAAATGGTTGAATTAAGCAGAATATAAGTAATTTTACAGTTTAAAAAAGTATGTTTGTATTTGCTATATGTTACAAGAAACATAATACTGAAAAAAACCCCACACTTGCCTGTTTAACTTTATGAATTCTTGTAATAAGTTCCTCTGCAGAAATGCTGCCAGCAATGACTTCCAAGGGGACTCCATTGTCGCCTATAAAGAAACTGGATGGAACACACACTACAGGATCTATGTAGTAAAGGTAAAGGACAATATACCTTGTTTGTACATTGGGAAAGAAAATCAATTATTATTAGAAGAGATGAGGTGATGTAATGATAAGCTTTGTTTATATCCAGCCCCGTCTCCCCTAAAGGACTCGGGGTGGCTTACAACAGAAAAAACACAATGTGGTAATAGTAAACATACAACCAAATCAAACTTAAATCACACAGTAATTGAAACATAAAAACACACAAACGTATTAGTAAAATTCAGAAGGGCATCTGAATGAGCCCATGTAAATAAATGGGCAAACAGATTATGAAGCAAATGGATGCTAACAACAGAAAAACACTGGAATTCTCTAGGCAGCTTTAAAAATACATCAAATAATCATTAGTTTGCCTTTTCCTTCAACTAAACATGGAATTATTTTAAAGACTATTTCCTCATATATCCTTTGTACTGAATTGAATAGTCTCCAAATTAGAAGCAGCCCTTTTCAGTTCTGCCAAAGAACAGTTTTTTGCCTCACCCTGAGATTTTTCTGTTAACCAGGAAATCATATATGTTGGTTCTAATCTTCTGGATAAGGTTTTAGCTCCATCTAGTCCAACATTATGCTTCCAATATTACCCAACCCTTCAAATCCCGAGCAACCGCTATCAACAAAGAAACTGCCTTAGTACAGAGGTTAAATTTCATTACTTGCATAATGGATGCTGGTTTAAATAGTTTATCGCCATCTCAAGCTAGTAGCCATTGAAAACTGGGAAAAATTACTTTTCAATGCCTAATTTTTGAAGGAAATTATACTGGACATTCTAAAATGAAAGCACTCAGTTAATTTCATGAGTGGAAAGGATACAGATTTGCGAGAACTGCAGACAGGCTTCACTGTATAAAAGAAAACACATGTTTAGAAAATCATTCTAATCTTCTACCATCACATAAAATATCCAGTGTCATTTTGCCACTGTATGTGTGACTGCTAAAACACTAGTGTCTTTAAAGTGCTCTACCATATGACCCGCTTATTCATGGACTTGATATCTACAGTTTCATTTAGCCATGCTCCAAAACCTATCCCTCCACCCACTAACTTGAAATGTTTGTGGACTTCTGTAGGTCCTTCAGTGCAATTCTATGCTATGTCTCTGGTTCAAATATAGTCAAAACATAGCTCTCATTGTCATGCATGGTTTCAGGTATCCACAGGGGGTCTTGGAATGTATCATCCACATATATGAGGATCATACTGTACTAGAATTTAGTAAAACTATGTTACACAACTATATTAAAAGAACATGTATAATCAAAACTAAATGTTTCTGAATAATGGTATGAACCTTTAGGTAGGCAAGTCATTTTGTGGGGCAAAGAATGATGGGAAGGAGAGTTCCCTCCACCACCCTGTTTAGTTTCCTACTCTCCAAAATGTTTATATTCAGTTGTATTATGAAACCTTATACTTTGAAGAACATATAATTTTAAGGGTAGACCATCACTTCCCACCCCCTGCTGTCAGAGATAAAAACAGCCCCCTCCTTTCCTCCTTCAAAAAGCAGCTAAAAAGCTTTGGTTAGGCAAGGCTTCAGTGAAGAAATCTATACTGAAGTGTCAGGAAATGCCAAAAAAATTATCGATTAGAGCGAAGTGCAATATAACCTGACAAGATACCACATTAATATATATTATTTTAAAACTGTTTTATTTTCAGATGTTTTATGTTCATTGTTTTATTTGTTTTATATATGCGTTTGGATTGTTGTTTCTATGATATTAGTATGTTGGAAGCCGCTTTGGGTCCCTTCATGGGAGAAAAGTGGGATATAAATAAAGAATTATTATCATTGTTTTTGTTGTTATAATAGGGTGGAGGAAAGAAAAATAAATATATCTTATTTGAGTGTCAAATCACTTGTACACATAGAACAAGTCCCACCAGCAAAAGCTCTTGAGGGAAGTGAAGAAATGGATGGATAGACACATATATATGCTGCTTAACCTTTTTCTTATCTAGTACTTCTATACTTCAAATTAACTCTCAAGAACTAATACATGCAGTCTCTAAATTACAAATAAGACAGGTTCTCTAGGTTTGTTCTTAAGTTGAATTTGTTTGTAAGTTGTAACAAGTACATTTTAAGAATTACTCCAACTAAATAGATATAAGCTTTGGATAGTAGAGGGAGGGATTAACAGCCCTGCAGTGTTTGTTTTGCTGTCTGGGCCCATTCAGAGGATTTCACCTCACTTTCTGTCCATATGATAACTGGATTTGGAAAAAAAGTGGCTTCTTGTTGAAAAAGTTTTGTGATAAAGTTTCAGTGGTGACACATTTCCCCATGATAACTCTTTTAGGAGAAAATTTCCCTTCCTAAGGGTAGATTTCTCTCATTTCCAGTTGTCTCACTCCCATTCTTAACTATGAGTTGTTCATAAGTCGGATGTTTGTAACTTGGGAATTGCCTGTATGCTGAGAAATTAGGGTAGGCAGTGAATCGAAAGAGCAAAGAAATAAAGAATTATGGTGGCAAAACATAATGAAGGATCAAGGGGTCCTTCAAGTAGTTGCATCAGGTTACAGAATCTTTTTCAGAAAAAGAACACACGAGGACTTCTCAAGTCTAAGCTTTTCCATCTTAAAATGATTTATCACACAGGGAAGACAGAAGCAACCCTGTATCTTCTTATAAGTGCCATGGCTTTAGATTTTCAGAGTGAAAAGTATAAAGAACATAGCCCTTCCATTAAAATGTACTTTATACCTCAATATTATTATTTTTCTCAATCTAGAAAGCAAGGAAGTAATAAAGCATGCCCAAATGTTGTGCAGGAGATTAAAAAACTGACCAGGGAGAGGATAGCATCAACAGAATAAACGGAAAAGAACATTGGCTTCTGCAGTTGGGTTGGCATGGGGCTGAATAACCCATCAGTGGTGGATTGCTCCTCATGCCATCCTGAGAACAGATGAGCCTACATTAGAGAACAGTGTCTGAGAAAGTAAAACATGACTGACAAGCAAAACAGAAGAAGTTGCCAAACCTTTGGGTATCAACTTTAATGGCCACAAAGCCATCTGTTGCCGCCTCAGTCACTTTTTCCCAGCTGGCAGCCATCTCTCTGGACTGTTCATCATCCCCTGTGGGTGGAAAAGATCAACAGATACAAATATAGATTGATCACAAAAGACACTGTACTAGAAATGCAATCCTGTTTGAAATATCTACTTATGGCAAGAACAAACTATAGTATTGCATCAACTTAAAAATCCAAACCGAAAGGCATATAGCAGGTAATGCCTAAACACAGCAAGCAGTTCTAGATGAGCCAAACAAGAACAATGTGTAATTGAAGGGAAAACAATGTCTCACAAGAATGTCTCACAATTATCCACAAAACAATTTGTTGTTCTCTTAAGACTTTTTCAGATCACAACTAATAGAATAATTATAGAAAATACATTCAAAAGGCAGCAGATTAACTTTGTCTTCATTATTTTGTGCACTCAGCCAATTAAAATTTAAGTCAGATATTTAGCACTATAATAAACCAAGGATGTACATTTCTATGAAACATGGTATGGCATGTAAAAATGGAAAGGAGGAAGATAATATCTATTGCCTTCCTTTGTTCTAGAACTTGCCCTATAACAAGATAAATTATTTTAAGTTAATTACTGGTTTGTTTATTTATTTAGTACATTTGTACCCTGCCCTTCTCACCACCACCACCACCACCCCGGGGGGGGGGGGGCACACGGTCAGGGCGGCTTCCCAACAAGCACTCATTTGAGTGCTAACCACAGTCATAAACAGTTTTATAACAGTTCATTAAAAACACATTACATTAAAAACATTCGGTTAATGCTAAGGACCAACAGTGTTTTGAACTTTTTGGGGATCTTGGAATATGTGCATATATGGAAGGAGATGTCATGGAAATGGGACTCAAGTCTACACACAAAATTTATTTCTATTTCATACACACCTTATATAGATTCCCTGAAGGTCATTTTATACACAATATTTTTAGTATTTTGAGGACATGAAGCAAGGTTTTCTGCACTGACCATCAAAAGCAAAAGGTGTCACTATCAGTCCCCCATGTGAGTAATTTTGAATCATTTTGTAATTCTGGAAAAGGTATACCCAGGCTATACATTTATATTCTTTGAAACATCTGATACTATAAAATATCGTGGCTCAACCCATCCAACTACCTCCAGCTATAACATGCATACTCCAGAATTATTTCCCCAGAGAGAGCACAAGAGAAAAATAAGGAGTGGGTTGATTTCCCATGGGAATGTTCACCATATAACAAAATACACAGGACATGTAGTAAACATATCATGTGCAAACTGACTATAGCAAACTTTGGTAGTTTAACATTTCTAAAATGTTACGTACTTTTCTTTTAAAAATGGAAGAACTTGATGGTTTTAATAACCTTCCAGTATCTCCTAGCTTGTTCAAGACTGCTTAGGTAGTATAAGTTGGGCACTTTCTATTTTGAGATCTGATTATTTTCACTTCCATAGTGGCTATTTTTGTCAATGTTTCAGCATAGGGGTGGTGAATGTGTGACCCTCAAGGCTAGTGAATTACAACATGCACAATCCCCCATAACTGGCAACAGCAACTGAACACTTTCTTGGAATCAAAGAAACACCTGGAAGGCCAGTTTCCCCAATTGTGTTTTAACCCTTTGTGAGCTTTATTTAAGGTATGAGGATACTTCAAAATGGAGCCCACCGGTGGCGCAATGGGTTAAACCTTTGAGCCAGCAGAACTGCTGACCGACAGGTCAGTGGTTCAAATCCAGGGAGAGCGGGTTGGTTTAGCTCCACCTCCCCATGCAGCGTCATGAGAGAAGCCTCCCACAAGGATGGTAAAACATCAAACACCGGGATGTCCCCTGGACAATGTCCTTGCAGATGGCGAATTCTCTCACAGCAGAAGTGACTTGCAGTTTCTCAAGTCGCTCCTGACACACACACACACACAAACTACAAAATGATAGCCATGGCTGCAATCTTTTCAATTACTTACAGTATTTATATAAAACTCTTTCTTCTAGTAAGTTTTTGAAATATCCAGAATGAACAACTATAAGCAAAAGCCAAACAGTGAAACACATGAAGTCTGGGTGCACAAAAACTATTTTTTCATTTTGTCTTGTCAGTTAAGATAAATTTGGAACATTATTATATGACCAATAGCATTCCTTTATGATCTGCAGCCTTTCCTTTTCACATACTTCTTTCTATATCCAGCTACAGACAGTCCTCCACATTCACTGGAGTTAAGGGCACAGAACCACTGTGAAAACGAAAAATCACAAACAAAAAAATTCCTGGTTTTATTGTGTTTCTTGTAATTGGTATTATATAAATCTCAATAAATATAATTTAAAAAACAACTGAGAGAACACATTCCCAGGCCCCCTAGGATTATATTGGAAGCTGATCACAGAATTGAACTGGAGGACCTAGCAATTCCTAGAGAGAATATTGTAATAAATCCATCTATAAGGGGCTGACTGTGCTGAAGGTTCACTTGGGTCCTATGTAGGATAGAGATAAAGAGACATTTCTCCCTCTCCATCTAGCATCGAAATATAACAAGCTGCCACAGAATGAAGGACCAGATCACTTTGTTCCTTCTTTGATAGCTTGTTTGTCCCTGCTGCTCCTCCTATGACAGCTGAGAAGAGGAACAGAACACTAAGTTTCCTGCATTCAGCAAGAAAGGTTATGGACTAGGAGGAGGTGAACAAGCCAGACACTCTCCTCACCTGTTCTAAGCAATTGTTTAGATCAGTGGTTCTCAATCTGGGAGTCCCCAGATGTTTTGGCCTTCAACTCCCAGAAATCCTAACAGCTAGTAAACTGGCTGGGATTTCTGGGAGTTGTAGGCCAAAACACCTGGGGACCCACAACAGCTACTTTAAAAAGTGTGCTGAAAAAAAAAATCCAGTGTCTGTATCCATCTTCAGAATTAATGAAGCTTGACACCACTTTAACTGTCATGGCTCAATGGTATGAAGTCATCAGAGTTGTACTTTGGTGAAGCACCAACATTTTTTGGCAGAGAAGACTAAAGACTTTGTAAGACAACTACCAGGACTCTACAGCATTCAGCCAAGACAGTTAACGTGGTGCCAAACTACATTAATTCTAGTGTAAATGCATTTTGAATAGCTTAAGGACATAGTCAAGATGTGATTTCTAAGTCATGGGCACAATTATGTACAATAACCACACCCTAAACCACAAACAAGCTAAGGTTTTAGGGCTATCTTACAATAAGTGATAAATGGGTCATATTGGTTAAACCAGATAACAGGGCAAACACTATAAAAGAAGCCAAATTATCTTAATGAAACCTGAGGAAAAGAGGAGATGTTACATAACATCACTGGGGAAGCTACTTTAATATGGCACGGTAATATAAGATACCTGATATTTGGCTGAACAACCGTGCTCCCCATGGTTTAGACATGCACTGGGTCTTGGGGTCTACCTGCCTTTTCAACAGGGACCTTTAATTGTATAGAACAGTTGCACATCCAGACCTGGGTCAAATTTAAACTAAGCCCTTTAGAACCCATCCCTGCAAAACTCCTCTACTTGGAGCAATGTTCAGCAATATCAACTTTAAGCTTCTTCATTTACTTCCTGCTCAGCATGATAAACAAACCCCTCACACAGAGGAAAAACAGTATAAGATGCAAAGTACCTATATAGCTGAAATGCATCCATGGGTAGGAGCTACAGACGAGTCATCAGTTAAAGTAACACAGAAAACCAGGAACACAACTTAAAGTGCATGGGCAAATTATATTTTAGGGAGGAAACCAGAAGAGAAGAAAGCGGCTGAGGGAGATGGCTGCATTGCCAAGATCTTAACGTGCTGAGAATAATTGGCAGCTGAGGGCAATGTTTACTATGGAATATGATGCCCGCCTATTTCCACTTCATGGTCACAAAACAGAACAACACAGCGGGCCTTTGGTATCTGAAGAGTTTGATTCCATCCTGGATACCAGAATCTGTGGATGGTCAAGTTCCATTATAAATACTGGCGTAGTAAAATGACATTCCTTATATACAATGACAAAAAAATCCAGTGAGTACAAAAGAGAGCCTGAGGATCTGTGAAATGTGGGAGGCTATAGAAGAATATGTCAATACATCAGTGTAGTTCTCAGAATGCAACAAAATAAATATTTACTTTTTGGGACTTTCTTTTTTAATGAGCCATGGTTGATTGACTGAATAGATGAAGAACCAGTGGGTATGGAAGCCAATTATAAGAGACAGAAGAGCCATCGGGTCTACAGTTTGTTTGGTTTTTTTGTGTCAAGAGCGACTTGAGAAACTGCAAGTTGATTCTGGTGTGAGAGAATTGTCTGCAAGGACGTTGCCAAAGAGACATCCGGATGTTTGATGCTTTACCATCCTGTGGGAGGCTTCTCTCATCCCCCTGAATGGGAAGCTAGATCTGAGAAGGGAGCTCAGCCCGCTCCTCGGATTTGAACCGCCAACTTGCCGGTCAGCAGTCCTGCCAGCACAGGAATTTAACCCATTGCGCCACTAGGGGCTCCTTAGGTCTACAGTAAGAATAACACACACAGCCTAAGGCTTATGGGTAAACTGTAGTGTGAAGGGAGAAAGCCATGATGGAAGGAAGCAAATGGAGACATCTGCCTTAGCAAGGCATTTAGTCCTGAGAGAAAACTGGGGTACAAATAAATGTTATTGTTACTATTATTAGGCAACTATGATGTCAGCCTATTTCCACTTTGCAATCACTGAACAGAACAATGTATAGTATATGTCCCGATGCTCTGATTGGTTGTTTTCTGGGAGTGAGAAGAAATAACCCATAATATCAAGGTACTCCATGCAGTCATGCCAGCCACGCAACCTTGGAGGCATCTATGGACAACGCCGGCTCTTTGGCTTACAAATTGAGATAAACACCACCCCTCAGAGTCAGCCATGACTAGATTTAATGTCAAGGGGAAACCTTTACCTATTAAGGCAGAAAATTCCACAATATCTGCTTTCAACTGGGTTATCTGAGTCCACACTGCCATATATTCCAGTTCAAAGCAGATAATGTGGATTTTTTTCAGCTGTGTGAAAGGGGGCTTGGACAATTTATGTAGTCTGAACCACTTTAACCATCATGACTCAATGCTGGGGAATGTAGTTTGGTGAGGCAACAGCACTCTGTTGGTAGAGAAGGATAAACACTGTGGAAGAATACAACTACTATGTTTACCATAGCACTGAATCGTGGCAGTGAAACTGGTGTTATACTGAACTATATATCCACAGTATACATCAGGGGTCCTCAAACTAAGGCTCGGGGGCCGAATGCGGCCCTCCAAGGTCTTTTACCCGGCACTCGCTTAGGGTCAACCTAAGTCTGTAACAACTTGAAAGCACACAACAACAACAACCCTATCTCATTAGCCAAAAGCAGGCCCACACTTCCCATTGAAATACTAATAAATGTATATTTGTTAAAATGGTTCATCATTTTAATTATTGTATTATTTTTAAGTGGTTTTTGCACTACAAATAGGATATATGCAGTGTGCATAAAAATTCATTCATGTTTTTTTTTTTCAAATTATAATCCAGCCCTCCAACAGTTTGAGGGACTGTGACCTGGCCCTCTGTTTATAAATTTGATATACGTTGACACATCCCAGGATCTAAGTCCCAGCTTGGCCCTGAAACCCTCTGGGTGACCCTGGCCAAGTCACACTCTCTCAGCCTCAGAGGAAGGCATGGGCAAATCCTGCCAAGAAGGGCCCGTGTCAGCCTCAGGTGGAAATGACCTGAAGACATTGTTCAGCAATCCAATCCCTCAACTTTGGATACCTCCCAACCCCCCGGGTACTTGAATCTAAACCTAAACAAAGCCCTGCAGAAGCCCCCACCTACAGTGTAGAATTAACGCAGTTCAACACAACTTTAACTCTATGTATTCGTGGCCCTTCGTCTTCTTTGCCAGGAGCTGCTGGTGCCTCCCCAAACTACAAATCCCATGACGAGGCAAACCAGGCCATGGCGCTCCCTGGGTAGGGCTGCGGCCTTCCTCTCGTGGGCAGGCGCCTCGGAGGACAAGAGGGGAGAGGGAAGGCGAGGCGGCCCGAAGGTAGGGAAACCCTCGTCGGGGAAGAAACCAGGGGCTGCCCGTACCTTCCACGAACACCACGAACACCGCGCTCCGCTGCTTGGCGGCGGCAATGGCGGCCGGGATGGTCCCGGGGAACCACAGCATAATGGCGGCGTCGGTTGCAGGAGAGGACCTGGGGGCCTCTACGCATGCGCGCCCGGGCTCCCTCCGCCGCCGCCGACGCCCGCTCCCCTCGGCGCGCACGCACGTCACAAACACGGCCCTCTACGACTGGCTGTTCGCTTCCACGGCGCGCATGCGCGTTACACATACGTCAGCCCCGCTGACTCAACCTTCGCTATTTCGACTCCGCCCATTGGGATCTTCTTCGCGTCGTTCTCCCTGAGGTGGCGCATGCGCATTGCAGGAAAGTGAGAGACAGGAAGTAGTAGAGATATGATTCGGTGCCTCTCTTTCTCTTTCCTCCGCCAGTGATTCATCTGGTGTTTAGTAGTGACAGATTCGCCGGAAGTGACGGGAAGAAAATGGTGGGCGGAGAAAAGGGAGCTGTCATTTATCGCATCTCGTTAAGCCTCTCAGGTTCCCCTTCCACTTCTCTGTGGCAATTAAGACCCTTTCCCCGCAATCTTGTAGTAGTATTTCATTTATTTTAGTGTTTTTGGACGGAGTTTTGCATTTGCTGTCAGTGAATCAGCAAAGACTTTAATCCAGTGGTTCTCAACCTGTGGGTCCCCAGATGTTTTGGCCTTCAACTCCCAGAAATCCTAACAGCTGGTAAACTGGGATTTCTGGGAGTTGTAGGCCAAAACACCTGGGGACTCACAGGTTGAGAGAACCACTGCACTCCTGCCATGCCCCAGCATGCATCTGTGATACTGTGTTTGCTTTATAGTTTGGCCCTCTTAGCTTTCTGTACCTCTAGATGTAACGCAACACCCCCCCCCCCCCCCCCCCCCCCCCCCCCAGTGCTATACTTGTTGTTCTGAAGGAAACATGGCTGCTCAACTCCTGGGAATTTATCATTTTTCACCTTCTGTTGTATAACGTATTACAAGGTTTACCTGGATGGAAGCATCTGGAATCTTACCTACTTCTCAGTCGACTTGAACACTGTCTGGTGTAAGTACTCATTAAACAGAGCTACAGGCCACTCCCACAACCTCACACTTGCAGCCAAGATATTGAGCCAGAATAAATCCCCTTCTTACTCCCCGACATCTATAGGGACATCTTGCAAAATAAAAATGCAAAAGTAAACTGGACCTGATGGAATCCCCTGTTTTGGATTTAGATTGCCAAATTTGAGTCGCCTGAGGGCTGAGAAAAGCGGTATATAAATAAAGTAAATAAATACATAAATTCCTATCAAACCAGCATTTAAAAAAACACGTTTTGTGAACCCCAATTTTGGACTTGTGACCCCTCTGCATCTATAAAAGAAGTTCTGCCCCAAAATTCCTGGTGAAATTAATGGCATGTTTTGTAGCTGGATACCGCAATCAATGGATATTCAGGCCCCATTATACAGGGTGCAGCAGCATAACTTCCTTTTTTCAAAACTTAATAAAACCCATTGTATGAATTAGAAAAAAATATATATAATGTAGGTGCATACCTAAAGTTGTTGTTTTACATAGTTTTGAAGATCAAATTAGGTAGGTGACGTCCCCCATTCTCCATACACTTGAGTAAACCGATTTCTGGTGTTTGTCATGACTCTTGGCAGCATAGCAGACGTTATGTTGGCAATTTCTTCCTGGATGTTGGTCTTCAAATCTTGTAGGGTCCTTGGATGATTCACATAAACATGAGATTTCCAAAAAAAAAAAACCATAGAAAAAAATCACAAGGGGCCAAATCTGGAGAACAGGCCGGCCACTCCAAATCCGCTCGAAAAGTAGGCCTCAACGGCAAAAGCACGCTCCTCACTCTTCCAACGCCTGATGGCGACTGAACTGTGTCAGGACAAAACTTTATACTCCTACCTCTCAAATGAGACCACTAGTGCTCCGCTACGTCTTCAACCGACTGAATAGCACGCATTTTTTAAAAAAGAAAGTTATACAAGATGACAAAACCAAGGGGTTTTTTTTTGTGAGGGGATATTTTCAAGCTCCTAATATGTTTGACCATAGAAGAGACCACGTAGAGACCACGCTCTCTACGTGGGGTTGCCTTTGAAGACGGCTCGGAAGCTCCAATTAGTCCAACGGTCGGCAGCCATGATACTAACTGGAGCGGAGCGCAGGGAGCACACAACTCCTCTGCTGCACCAGCTCCACTGGCTGCCGATTTGCTACCGGGCTCAATTCAAAGTGCTGGCGTTGGCCTTTAAAGCCCTAAACGGTTCTGGCCCAACCTACCTATCCGAACGTATCTCGGCCTATCAGCCCACCAGGACCCTAAGATCTTCTGGGGAGGCCTTGCTCTCTATCCCGCCTGCTTCACAGGTGCGGCTGGTGGGGACGAGAGACAGGGCCTTTTCTGTGGTGGCCCCTCGGCTCTGGAACGCCCTTCCCATGGAGGTAAGATCAGCCTCCTCGCTGATGGTATTCCGAAGAAGACTAAAAACTTGGATGTTCAAGCAGGCATTTGGCTAATTCGGTGCAATGAATGTGTTGATTACGGATTGGTAATATGGATGATGCAATTGGACCACGATTTTAGTTAGGAGATGTATTGGATTGTGATTTCGTGTAATATTGTGTATTATGTTTTTTATGGTTTTAATTGTATACTGTGCACTGTATATTTTGTTGTAAACCGCGTTGAGTCGCCAATTAGGCTGAGAAACGGCGGTATACAAGGACAGTAAATAAATAAAATAAATAAATAGAATCATAGAGTTGGAAGTGACCGCATGGGCCATCTAGTCCAACCCCCTGCTATGCAGGAAAAGCACAAAGTATTCCTGACAGATGGCCATCCAGACTCTGTTTAAGTGTCCAAAGAAGGAGCCTTCACCACACTTTGGGGCAGAGAGTCCCACTACTGAACAGCTCTCACAGTCAGGAAGTTCTTCCTCATGTTCAGGTGGAATCTCCTTTCCTGTAGTTTGAAGCCATTGTTCTGCATCCTAGTCTCCAGGGCAGCAGAAAACAAGCCTGCCCCTTATGAGATCCTTTCCGATATTTAAACATGTCTTCTCTCAACCTTCTCTTCTGCAGGCTAACCATACCCAGCTCTTTAAGACAGTCCTCATAGGGATTCACCTTTGATCATTTTAGTCGCTCTCCTCTGGACACCTTCCATTTTGTTAATATCTCTTTTGAACTGTGGTGCCCAGAATTATAGAATAGAGTTGGAAGAGACCTCATGGGCTGTCCAGTCCAGCCCCCTGCCAAGAAGCAAAATTGCACGCAAAGCACCCTTGACAGATAGCCATCCAGTTTCCTCTTAAAAGCCCTCCAAAGAAAGAGCCTCCACCACACTCAGGGGCAAAGAGATTCACTGCTGAACAGCTCTCACAGTTAGGAAGTTCGTCCACATGTTCAAGTATAATCTCCTTTCCTGTAGTTTGAAGCCATTACTCCATTGCGTCCTAATGTCCAGGGCAGCAGAAAACAACTTGCTCGCTCCTCCCTATGATTTCCCCTCACATATTTATACATGTCCATCATGTCTCCTCTCAACCTTCTTTTCTACAGGCTAACCATACCCAGCTCTTTAAGACACTCCTCGTAGGGATTCATGGTCTTCGGACCTTTGATAATTTTAGTCCTCCTCCTCTGGACACATTTCAGCTTGTCAACATTTCCTTTTCACACCATTAAGCTACTTCGTAGATATTCTTTTGGGGCTTTCCCTTTTTTCATTAACCACCCTAAATGATTGTGACTGTTTATTCTAAACATCTGCTCTCTGGTTACATTAACTATTTTCCAGTCTGTATACACAGAAGCAGTTACCTATTTCTGTCAACTTATATGTATTTCCTATTCTCAAAGAACTCTTGTTTGGATACCATTTAGAACCAGTTGTTTGTTCTCAGTGTGCCAGCAAGGCCTAGGTCTAGCGTGCAGAGAGGGCAGGCCACAAGCCTTCCGTATTACATGCTGTGCTCTCCAAATTCCTCAGGATATGCCTCAATGTTCCTGGACCCCATTTTTATTTTTAAAAATTCCCTTGATTGCCTCAAACCAACACAAAATGTGACAAAATTGCATCAACCCTGCCAGCTGATTAAAAAGCACAATATCAAAAGTACTTGTGTGCCTTCAAGTCATTTGTAATTTAGAGCCACCCTATCATGGGATTTTCTTGGCCAGAGTTGTTCAGAGGACATTTGCGCCTATCTTCTTGAGGCTGAGAGAGTGTGACTTCCCTCAAGGTCACCTAATGACCGAGCAGGAATTATGGTCTGATGCATATTACACCATACAGTTTCAGTTGTAGAAAATTGTCCACGCTCCTCATACAACTTCCTATCTGCCTATTTGACCCAGATTCTCAGATTCCCTTAGGTATGTTTTTCTGCCCTACTTTTTCTGTAGTAAAGTTGACACAGCTTTCCTCTATTTTTTCCTTTGTCCACCCTTTCACTCAATGCCATTCTTGTCTTTCACTCAGTGCCACTATAATTTCAGTAGAAGGAAGCAGTGTATAGCGCAGAGGACTCTTGAGGAAGGGACCTTAATTCCCACAAAAGCTTTGACCTTAAAACTGCAATCCTTAACCCACTTATCGATAGATTTACATATGAGCAAACGTGCATAGACTTTAATACTAGTATTTCACTTTTGAAGTTGTAAATAGTAAAACAAATCAATATGTTTGTTACACAAGTATAACACAGCAGTACCATTATCAATGAGTGGAACAACCTCTTAGATTTAGTTGCTGGGGGCTACATGCCACCATTGCTATGTCACTGAAATTCTGCAGTCAACTGATCATCTGAACATGCACATATAAAACAGGCATTCAAGGTTTGCATTGCATGTTACAGAGCCAATTAAGACTCAAGAAGAACTTTATTGGAAGGCAAAAGTGACAGTGGTGACTCTAGTGTATATCATACCTGATTTATGTGAGACCCACCACAATCTCTTAGAAACAATAAGTAAAGGTAAAAGTTTCCCCTTGGCATTAAGTCTAGTTGCATCCAACTTTAGGGGTGGTGCTCATCTCCATTTCTTGCTGAAGAGCCGGCATTGTCCATAGACGCTTCCTAGATCATGTGGTCAGCATGACTGCATGGAGTGCCGTTACCTTCCCGCCGGGGTGGTATCTATTGATTTACTCACATTTTCATGTTTTCGAACTGCTAGGCTAGCAGGAGCTAACAGCAGGAGCTCACCCCGTCCCGCGGATTCAAAC